TCAAAGTCTGAGGCAATGAGAACAGACCTGGGATTTAGCCCACCCTCCTGGCCTCTAGCTCATGATCTTCAGCTCTAGCTTGTTCTCAACCTCAGCCACTTTTTATCCATCTTCTCTTCTCTACTGCCTACCCTATATTGTAGTTCGTTTACTCTGCCAATCAAAACACGAAGTCAGAGAAACACACACAAAGGCGGGAACCACACACTTTCGTTCTTCTGCAATTGCATCTTGACAATATAAAAAAAGGAAACAAATAATATAGCGTGGTTTAGGGAACTGAGTCTCAGAATTTTAAAATCCTGTCTTATTTGGATAAGCATAGCATTTCTCCTTTCCTTTGCCAGCAGCTATGACAGACCCTTCTTAAAGAAGCATGCCCTTAAGATATGTTAAGTGCATATACCAACTTCCCAGAATAAATTCCACCATCATGTAATACTAACATGCACTTATAAAATAAAATATGAAAAAGAAAAAAGAGGCATACCCATTAAATTGAGGAATTTATGGTTTGGTACAGATAATGCTTATTATTTAGTTTGTAGTGTTTAAAATGTTATTATTTTCATTTTTCCAATATAACATTAAATTATAATAGTGGCTATGCTTTCCAATTAAACACATCTACTTCCACATGTGTGTGTATATATATATATATATATATATATATTTTTTTTTTTTTTTTTTTCTTTTCTTTTCTTTTTGGTACCGGGGATCGAACTGGGGACCTTCCACTTGTGAGGCAGGTGGCAGAACCACTGAGCTAAATCCCCGGCTGTATATTCTTAAATGTACACTGCTTTCCACTCTGCCCCTCTCCATCACTCCTTTGGAGAATAATGATTAGAGATGAAGTTTCCTCATCCTGTTTGTAGGTAGAAACTCAAAAGAGACCATAATTCACTCCCTAACACCCAGAACAAACCAGGTAATCTACATAATTACAGTTTTTAAACAAAGAAAACCATCAAAGAAATGAGAGCACAGTGAGACCTAAAGTGAACCAAACTTCAGAGTGTGATCATCCTTCGTAGCACTACAGATTCTAAAGTGGACCTCACCCCTGACTGAAGTGGAAGGGGGAAGAATCCACCATACTTGATAATGAGAAATCAGCCTAATTTAAACAAACTTAAATGGCAGTGTGTAGGCTGATGTGACAGGTTAGAGCCAGAGAAGCTGCAGCACAGAGCTAAACCGTATGACCTCCCAGTTATTTCCCACTGATACTCAGTAGCTGCTGGGCCGGCCGGACCACAAAAACAAGGGCGGTGAAGAACAGCTGAGAGAAACTCTCAGAGGTACACTGGCTTTTTAGGTAAGAAGGATTTGTAGAGGGGCAAAAATCCCAGCGCTCCAGGTCTTCACTTAAGAAAGACTGGGGGGAATGGTGAGAGCAGAATCTCCCTGAAGCCAAGTCAACCAGGGCAAAAAAGCTAGTAAGAGCCCTAAGATAATATCTGCGTATATGAAAAATCCTGATCTCATCTTTGAAATAATTGAGGCTAGTGGTAAATTAAATTAAACCAAAGCTGTTAACAAAGCCCAAGCCCAGCTCAACTGTACATCATATTGACTCAGCCCCAACGCAAGTGGCCTGGTAGAAGATACGTATCTGTTTTTGGAGGAAAATATTTAATTCATTATCTACTGTACTTGTGCATAAATTTTTGCCACACAGTCAACAATATTAGCACACACACAAACACACAGGCAAGAAAATGTGCCTGCTGTTACTGAATGCTCTTTGGTTGGGAAATTGGCTTTTGCTACAGAATTGATACTGTTTCTTTGTGAATTCAACCTAAAGCTACATGGCAAACTAGAGTGTTTAAGTAAAACTTCTATTGTGGTGAGATCATTTTGACATAACTAACATTGCTTCAATCACAAATAACATTGAGCTGCTTTACAGACTTCCTATGCTGTCAGCAGCTAAAACAAGAAGTGTGATCTCCATCCCAACACAAATTCGCAGCAGTTATATTTTTTTGAACTCGAACTATGGTCCTAACAGTGCTTGTTGGATTTTAACGCAAGTCCAAGGGGAATTTCCATATTTAAAATCTACTTAACTGTGCAGTTGAGGAACTTCCACCTAACCTCCAACTGCAGGTGACTAATCTGCAATGTAATGGCATGCTAAAGGGGACATGGCCAGAGAATTTATAGAATTCTAATAGAAGTTTAGAAATGCCTTCTAAGCACTAAATATGCACAAATGAAATCATATGTCCATAGATGCATATCAATATGAGGCAATATCTGGGAAGAAAGACATTTTCAAAAATGAAATATGTGCAATCTCATCAAATATCAGAATGAACGTTTGCAGTCCGTTTTGATAGAGAAGACTTACTTTGAACCCCAAGTAAGTGGAATGTTATTTCCCCCAAAGGAATTCCATTCCTTCATTATTAGATCTGTATTGTCATTTTATTATACTTTGAATTTTATAATAACTATATAATAGTCTCAGTTTTGCCTCTTGGCAGACAAGACCTAAAATATTCGCTATCAGGCCCTTTCTAGAGATTATAAATCCCTGATCTAAACACAGTTGTTGCTACATCTGCTACTGTGTATTTTTTATTTAATTTTTATTTTTTGTTTTTAGAGACAGGATCTCACTGTTGTTCAAGCTGGCCTTGAACTCACTATGTAGACCAGGCTGGCCTCAAACTTACAGGATTTCTAAAGCTTCATTATGCCTGACTTGAAAGAAGTCAGTACTTTGAAAAGAAATCCATGGAAACCCTTTGAGTTTATTTCTAATCACTTTGGCTACTAGGATCCCTACATTTCCCAGTTTTCTCATTCCTATTTCCTTACTACCTTCTGTCCCTCAGCAATGCCTATGTCTTTGCTCTTTTGTCTGTTTTGTTCTTTACTTTTGTTTTGTTTTATTTTCCTGAGACACAGTCTTGTTATGCAGTTCACTCCGGCCTTGAACTCACTAGGCAGTCGAGGCTGGCTTCAAACTCCTGGCCATCCTTCTGTCTCAGCCTCCTGAGTGCTGGCATTATAGAAGTGCACCTCCACACTGGCTGTATTTTGTTTGGGAAACCACACTCTACCTGCTACTTAGGCGAATCACTTAGAGAAAGTAAAGAGGAGCTGGAATGGAAATTGAAAGTTAATTTAGTCCTCAGGTTAAACTGAACACAAAGTCTGTGGCCTTGTTAAGGAAGCACTTTGTACAGTAGTCCCCTTGTCCCAAGTTTGTTACCCACCATCAAGCATGGACAGAAAATATCAAATGGAAAATTTCAGAAATAAACAATTCATAACTGTTAAATAACTTTTATTACAGTATACTATAATTGTTTTATTAGCTCTTATTACTCCGTGACTGTGCCCAACGTATAAACTTTGTCATACGTATGTATATGAGAAAACGATACAGAGGGTTCAGCACTGTCTATGTTTCAGGCGTCCACTGGAAGTCTTGGAATGCAGCCCATGAACAAAACTGCTATGCATATTTTCTCATTTGATATTTGACTCTTTTTAGATAGGTGCTATCCCTCCACCCCATTTTGTAGAAGTTTAGAGTGAATTGTCAGAGATCAAGACATTTAACTCAGTAAAGGGGCATCAGAACCAATGTCTGCAGATACTTGTTCAAAGGAACAAAGGTGGATGAAATAACTGCGGGAGAGGTCAAAGGCGGAGGAATTGGTCTGGCGAGACAGATGTGTTGGGGAGATGGGGACTACCAGGTGACAGAAACTGGCGGCTCGCCCAAGAGGAGGGAGTTTTCCCACTCCCAAACATCTTGATTAATACATTTTGGTTCAGACTGTTATGACGAGTGCGGGAGCAAAAGTCCTGTTTGTAACAGGCTGGACGCGTTTTATAATGCAGAGAAAGGCAGGGAAGTGGGCAGGACAAATCCACGGCCGAACAGGATCTGGGACTGCGTCCCGGCCTGGTGCAGAGAACACACGGTCGCCCACGCGTGTAATGCACCACCGTGGCAGGGGAGAGCTACAGCAAATTTACCTGCACATCGTCCACCCACTCATGAACCCTGCCTACGTCAATCAGACACAACTGTAACGTTCCCAGTGTTCGGCCTCGCTCCCAGCGAGCGTGCCGGGCGGGGTGCAGCCCGCGGGGCTGCGTCCGGCCAACTTTGCGGTCCAGTCACCGGGTCACCTACTTCGGTCGGCAGCGGCCGCTGTCGCTTTAAGTGGGCAGTGGATTTGGACGCGCGCGGGAGAGGGATCGGGGAAGGGACCCGGCCGCCTGTCACCGCCCAGCAGCCTTCCTTTTCGGGTGCCCCCACCCCCGCCCGCCCCGGCTTTGTCTCGTCTCGGCGTCGCGCTCGGGCGCCCGCTCCCCACGTTCCCCGGTGCAGCCGGTAACCCGAGCTCCCACTTCCTGGTGGATTCTCTTAAAGAGGCAGCAGTCGGGGCGCGGAACAAAGGCCATTGTTTTATTTCCTCCTTCGGGGTCCGCGTCTTTCCCGGAACGCCCCTTCCCAGCTCGCTGTTCTGCGCGCAGGGAACAAAAACAATTAAAAGCCCGCGTGCCCTTCGGAGCGTCTGAGAGGCGGGGGCAGGGCCGGCGGGAGGAGGGTGCAGACCTGTGCGGCGGCTTGTGGGGCCCCTGTACTGCCCGCGAAGGGCGCCTTCCTGCGGCCGGCCGGCGAGCTCGGCGCGGCGACCCCTGCGGGCGGCGGCTGCGCCCCGCTCCCCGCCCGCCCCTCCCCCGCTCGGGTTTCGCGGGGCCCGGCTGTAACCCGAGCTGGATTTCCTGGTGGCTCCTTTAAGAGGCAGAGCCCGGTGCTGGGAATTCACGTCAGTTTCTGCACTGAAACTCTCAAGATCCGCGAGCGAAGAGCTTTCTCGGTTCTGCCTTTCAGTTTCTCTCTTCCAGGAAGGAAAACATTCGAGAGCGCGAGCGAGCGCGAGCGAGCGCGCAGCGGGGCGAGGCGAGGCGAGGCGGAGGCGGAGGCGGAGGCGGAGGCGGAGGCGGGGCGGGCGCCGGCCGGGTGGGAGGAGAGAGAGGCCGGCCGGCTGCTCCCGGGTCGCCGCAGACCCCGCGGACCCCGCCGCCAGCGCTGCCCACCCGGCGCCTGCCGGGACGAGCTGCCGCAAACTTCTTAAATGACCACGTCCGGCTGCCCGTGGAGCGCTTCTGGGTTGGGGAGAGGAAAGGAAAGTGGAAAAAAACTGAGAACTTCCTGATCCCTCTCGCTGTGAGACATGTCTGAGACTCCTGCTCAGTGTAGCATTAAGGTAAAGATCTGCTCCTCTGCCCTCGGGGGTCGGGCAGTCGCGGGGCTGTGCTCCTAGCGGCCGCTGCCTCGGCTCGCAGCGCTTTACTGGGGGCGCGAGCGGGAGATGCAGCTCGCGGCCGCGGCTGGACCCTTTCGCGTAACCTTACCGCCCCCCCCCACTCCCCGCCGGGCCGGCTCCGCGCCCCCCACCCCCTCTCTTCTCGACAATGAAATGCCCGTCACAGTCGGCTAGCCGGAGTCCGGGTTGTCTCCGGATCTGCAAGACACCCCCGTAATTAGTGCGCTTAAAAAAAGCCCTGCTCTCCGTTCCTACACCCAACATGTGACCGAAAGGTAACTTTTGTTCCCAAGGGGTGGTCTCCTTAGGAACAAGTTCTCCAGCCCCTACTGAGGAGGTAATCCTTTCTTTTTTTAAAAAAGGACTCCCTGGGTTTGATCACACAGGCGCCCCCCCCCCCCCCCATTGTAGTTGCATTTGCAGTCGGAGACACGGTCTTAGTGTCAGTTTTTCCTGGCCATTGCACAATGATTTTTTTTTTTTAAACCAAGGTGAATAAAGTTGCCGAATAGCTATTTTACTTTAGTGCATATGAAAGTTGAGCAGTCACTAAGTAGAAAACTCCTGTGATGCAGGGAGGAAAAGAAGTGACCAGGCAAAATGACCTTCTCTGTTTGACAGTGCATAGAGGGGATCTTAAGAGCAGCAGTCTGCTCTCTGGCCGTGTTTTGCAGTATTGGAAGTGCAGGGTGGATATTTCCGAACACAGTACAGAACTCGGCTTCCCAGTATTTGTGTGTGCATATATATATATATATATATATATATATATATATGTATATTTTATACTAAAAAGTTAATGTAAAGTTTGCCACCATTGAGAGGCGAGATGATTTGTGTATCTCCTCCAATTATTTTTCCCATCCATGCGTTCATCTTGCACTTATGTCGCGGTGGCATCAGGACCTAGGTGGAAGTTTCTGCTTCCGTGAGAGGCTGAAGCTGCTGAAGTTTGCTTTTGCTTTGGCCTGTGTAATATGTGTTTCTTGGATGGACTCTGAAGAAACAAGGGACATAGAACCTGTTTTCCTTCTCTGTGGGGAGTTAGAAAAATCTTTCCTGTTTGACACGGCTTTTCAAGTAGGATCTATGTAGGAGAAAGGCAGTATTTTACCGCACTTGCCTACTAAATTTTCATAATTAGAATCAGATCTCAGTGTTTCCTATCAGGAAAGATGGTTAAGGGTTTGCAGTAAGGCCAGCGTGAACTCAGAAGGTGGGTAGGGTTTCTTTGTATTTGCCCCGTGGAAATGCCCCGTGGAACTTCTGGGGTAAGTGTGAGGCGAGTGCCATGCTTAAGAACTTAGGGACTTAAAAACCAATTTTTTTTTTTGGTGTAATGTGAATTAAATTCTGTATTGAGTTCAGGAAAAATCCTGTGGTATAGATAATCTAATTTATGTGACACTTTATAACAAAAACAGAGGTAACTGAATAATAGGGTAGTAAATCAGTAAATTGATAGCAATGAACCCAACATTAGGAAAATCTGGACCAAACGCGGCGCAGTAACTTAAGGGTGAAAACAACAAGCGGCAATCTGTTCTTGTGACTTCTCGTATCTCTTCGGCTCAGCCCACTGTCCTGATGGGCTGATGGTTATGTGCTGGAGGCAGAAGTGCTGCTGAATGGTTTGTTTCATTGTACTCAAGTGGAAAAAGAACACAGCAGTTCCATTCTTTACACACATACACAGAACCAATCACAAACCCAAACAGACACTTTCCTAAATGTGACATAAGAATTGCATCTATAATTTGCATATCATTGTTTTCTTATTGCTTGCACTCTCAGTCTTTGTGTGTGTGTGTGTGTTTATGTGTATAGAACCCATGGCCTTCCTCATGCTAGGCAGACATTTCACTTTCTGAGTTCTACACCAGCCCCTCAGTTCTTTTTGGATGGCTCTTCTCATAACTACATATTTCTGTGTAATTAAAATCTATTTGTATTCCTCATCAGTCATGAAAGTAGCACTCTTATCTTGGATTGGAAAGTAGTACTTTTATTATGGAACCAGTTTGTGAATATTTACTTGGACTGTGTGTGTGTTATGTGTGTTTTTAGTGCACTTATGTGGAGAGTATCTTTCCATGGAGTTTGTTGAATTCATGATGTTCCAGTAATAAGCACTACAGATCAAGGACCAGGATTATTCCCGCTCATCTGAACATGCTCGGGTGATGGGTCCTTGCGATGTGGTGCAGTGACAGCATAGTGAAGAATGTTTGCCCGAAACCCACAAGCAAGTGGCTTGCTTCTAGAGGGATTGCCTCTAGAGTCCCACGAGCAGTAGACTTCTATGGAGTGCACATGCGTGTCAGTCTGTCAGGGATGAGCCGATGAATCCGATGCACTGAAGCTGTGTGACGGAATGCTCTCGGCATTGTGGGGAGGCTTCTGTCACTGTCCACTCCTGAGGCCGTTCTTAGACCTTCCTTGCCCCCCCCTCGTGCCCCACAAGCAGTTGGCCTGTGGGTAGTAATTCCTCAGCAGCTGGCGAGAAGGAACCCTCAGAGCTGCGGCAGGGGGAAGTACTTGGTTTACTTCGGAGCAGTGTCTGTGCTCCTAAAAAAGAGTAGTGTCCGATTTGGGTCGAGTTTGCAAAGTAAAAGTTTCTGAATTGGTCAATCAGTGACACATTGGTAAAGATCGCTTTTGTGCTGATGGTTGACAATGAGTGCCCCATGAGGACTTTTGTGTTTCTTTTGCAGTTTCTAAGTGTCTTCCTCTCACCCAGAGAAGTTGTTATCTCACACATTACACACACACACACACACACACTCACACTCACACACACTGAGGGACAGCCCAAGGGCTGAGTTGGACAGCCCAAGGTCACCCAGGTTCACACAGCCTTGTTAATGTTCTGCTCTAAGCCCCTTTCTGGGCAGTTCTGTCTCGTAATGACAGCTTAAACGCTCCAGTTCCTAATCATCTGGGGGTGTTTGAATGTAAGGACAGGACCCACTCGTTATAAAGTCAAATGTTTTTCAGAGGATTGTGCTGGTTGCAGGCAGAAGGGAGAGGCTGTCATTTCCATCGTCAGCCTTCACCTTCAAGTCACCTGTTTCGTTTTAAATTCAGCCTAGTTGCAGCAGAGAGTGGGTAGGCCCAGCGGATACAGTCCTTTGCAGGGCTTGGCCCCGTGCTCCCGTCGGCCAGGTGATCCAGAATACAAAAACCAGTTGCACAGCTGTCCCCATCTTTCCCTACTGCCTTATTGGTTGGCTTTCTTAGCAGAATGAAATCTTTTGAAAGAAACCTTGTTACTAACTGAAAAACTGTCTAGCTCTCTTCTGCTGGAGTCCCAACCCTTGGGACTCCTGGGGTTTAACGATGGTTATCTTGGTGTCCTAGGGCCTTGCTTGGCAGCTGGCACAGGAACGTTTCTGTCACGTGAGCTGTGGAGGAGGTGAGCGCCCTTTCCTCTCCGAGTCCAGGCGTCACTTTGGGGTGACTTAACACCTTCATCTTCTGGCTTGGATGAAGCATTTATTAGGGCCACCCTACTGCCTCAGAGAGGGCAGGAGCGTTCTGTGGGTATCTATGCAAAAATTATTAATAGACTAGCAGTGTTAGTGTTTTGCTAACATTCTCAAAATCTGCTTTTGTGTCTAAGCAAAAATGATTGAGTAGGAGATACAACAAAGGAGTTTGAGGAATTCTGTAAAGGGTCCCATTAGTAATTAGAAGGTTTCTAGTTCCCCCAGTTTCTCTGCTAGTAGCGTCAGAGAACTCTTGAATTTTCAGAGTCCAGAGGTCGTAGAGATCCCCTGGGCCAATCTCTTGCTTTAATAGACAGTATTCTGGGGCTACTTTGGTGGTTTGTTTTAGCCCATGGGCAGCTGAGGATGTTTGGAGGAACACAGGCCTATGGGGTCTCAGACCACCATCCTGAATTCTCTGGGTTCATGGTGCATCTATAAAAAGCCAAAGAAATTGGATATGATAGGGTTCACTCTCTCTGACACTTCCTAGTGTGGTCCCTTTTAATCCCAAGCCAGCTGGTCTGGGCACGGAGTGTGTACCAAGGAAGGGGTGTGTGGGAGCATTGGGCTGCCAGGGTCTTGACAAGGGTGAGAGGAGGAAGAAGTGGGAGGTGGGGATGAGGGAAGAAGGACCTGGTGGATCGGTATTTGCACCAAAATCTGCAGCAACTTTTTTTGGTTTTTTTTCTGGTAGTGAGTGAAGAGCCTGGCAGTTTTGCCTTGGAAGAATCCTTGAGTGGGCCATGCGCTCTTTTATCCTGGGTCAGCCGAACTATTTATACCTTCACTTATGTGTAGTAAGCTCCTTGTTTATAACAGCAAAAAGGTATGGCTGTGGCAGCTGGTCCTAGAGAAGTTGTGGTGCAAAGTGTCCTCCTTAGGGAAGGCAAGGCAAGGCAAGGCAAGGGGAAAGGACCCCAAACATGCACACAGAGACTGGAAGAACTGAGACAGATTCTCTAGCTCTCAGTGGAACTGCGTTTACTCCCACCAAGGAAGGGCGGTGGGCGAGGCTTGCTGGGAGGGACCGGAAGAGCAGATTCCCTTTATCACAGACTTCTACAGCTGGCCCTTTGGCGTGGATCTCCCAGCTGAGGGAATCGGTGTCAGTGAAGCCCCCTAAGGTGTGCGCCATCCAGGTGACATACTTTTCTCTGAATACCGCGTCAGAAACAGCGCAGAAGCTTGTCCACTGGCAGAGTCCATCACCATTGTGTTTGTTGTTGGATGCATGGAAGGTTGTGTTTGTTGTTGGATGCATGGAAGGAACCAGTCCGTGTGTATTTGTTGAAGGGAGCGAGTGTAAGTTTTCTCAAGGTTCCCACGCCAAAAGGGGCCCAGCTTGAAGACTGTTCATTCCCAAACCTAGTCTGTGGGGGGAGAAAGGCTAGACTAAGCGAGCGAGAAGTTAGAATTATAGCCTATTAAACAGCACACACATTTTTATTG